ATTTTTAGGGAGTCCTGCCCAGCACCCCTCGCTGGGCCGTGTAACTGTAGGGCACGTCGGATCTCTGGAGGCTGCATCTCCTCTGGGTCGTAATCCGCCTTGTATTGCCGCGTTGCGTCGGAGCAGCATCCATCAGAAATTTTATTACTAATGCATTTTCTAGCAGAATTCATAATAAGGTATTAAAGACTATAGGTCAAAGAGTGAGGTGTAAATATTTTAAAAAGGCCCTTTTCTGATAACCTTTTCTTCAGCGTTAGCTGCCCTTTTGCGGAGAATATTGTCTAAGGCGCTGGTGTCCCAGCTGTCCACGTGCCAGGGTTAACACAGGACACGTCTGTGTCGGGGCACTCGTGCTGGAGGGTTGCGCGGGAGGGGACAGCCCAGGCCGGGGAGGTGTTTGCTGCGGTGGGCCGTGCTTGGTCTGCACCCATGGGAGCTTTTGGATGGAAACAAAACTTCTTGCTGGTCACTCAAACGTGCATAGTGCCTTGTCGTACTGCTGCGTTGGTGTGAGAGAGGTAAGGTCTTGGTTTCTCCTTTGCCACCTCCTTGTGCAGCAACGTCTTTTCGTGTTTGGACAGGGATTTTAGGGTTGTTCGTTCCTTATTTTAATCCAAGGCTATCCTTGCTGTTGGTGATACACTGAAACGGAGTAGTCTCCTCTTGTACCTTGCTGCTCTCGGTTTGGTCTTCCTGGTGCTTTGGGTAGCCACGCGTAACGCACGCCGTTACCATTCAGTGTTTCTTTTGGCAAACAGGACCCCAGAGCTTCTTCCTTTACGATTTTTATAACAGTCTGAACCTTTCTTACTCATTTATTGCAAAAGAAGGGAAGCACAAATGGCCTTGCTACCTCGCACCCCGGCATCCCCAGCCCATGGTATTGCAGCTGGCTCACCGGAGCCCTTTAACTCCCGGAGCTGCTGGGGGGTGCCCTGGGTGCTGGAGCCGCTTCTGCTGAGCTGCGGGATGAAGGATGGGGTGCTGGAGACAGGTCGGGAGCGGGTCCCGCTCCCATTTGCCCTCCTTCTGCTCCGCGGGAGGCATCTGTCTGCGTGTTTATTTTTATCTCACATCTGCTGGCATCGTAACAAAGATTTAATGATATGACACGGGTTTGTCACCAGTTCTTTTTTCTGTGGTGAGTTAAGTTTCATCGCTGGCTGCTGGAGGGAGTCGAAAGCTTTAAAAATGAAAAAATTTGGCGAATTGTGTAGAAAACTCACCTGTTTGCCACAAGCACCTGTAGGCTGTTGTCTGTCTGCAGTTCTTTTTTTTTCTGGACAGAAAAGATAGGATTTGCTATTTTTGCCTGTTGGTGAACTAAGCATAATCACAATTAATCTTTGCTAAGGAAGAACAGCAACAAGGGACGCGCAGAAGAGTCCTATAAATGGGCCAAACACTGAAACCCCATCCGTCTTGAGCTGGCTTGGTGCAGGGCTCACCAGTCGCATCTCCCTGGGATGTGCCCTCTGCCTGTTATTTACCATCAAACACAGACCCAAGCCAGTGCTGTTTATACAGATGTTTTGCTCCATTGTTTAGATGATGGGCCGCATCTTTTGAGAAATAGACGTCGGCTTCCCGCTGAGGAATATCTTAAGCTTGTTTGACCCAAAAATGGCAAGAGGATTTTAAAGACATACTACTTAGGCTTTTTAAGGCAGATGGTCTGAAATTCCTCTGAGTCCTGACTGTGTCCTGCCTGGGCGTGAACATTGAAAATGAGACCTCTTTTCCTGGAGGAGTGTGGATATGGGATGTCTGCATCCCACAGCTGGTTTTGCTTTGCCAGAGGTTTGGGTGGTTTTTTTTTTTTTTGCCTGAATTTGAGCAGCGGAAAAAAGATGCATTACCCAGAGCGCTTCTTGTAGGTCTGCATCCTTTGACCTGTGTGCTGTCAGGAATAAGGGCATGCGCTTGGTAGTGAAATTTCCCCACTGACCCCTGCGCTTTGGGCAGTATCAGAAATTTCCCCCTCTGCGACCATGCCGTTCTGCTTTCAAGCTCCTGTAACGCATGCCTGGTGTCCCTTCCTTCCCCTCCTAAGTTCCCCCGCGCCGTGCTTTGCTCGTGCACCCAGCCTCGTGCTTGCAGGTGCCCGCTGCCCCCCACTGAGGTCCTGCCCTGGGGTCCCTCCGAGGCTTTGGTGTAGATGCCCATGACTGTTTCCCAGGGCCAACCAGATCTTTGTCCAGAGCTGATGCCCGGCTTGTATGGCTTTTGCTATCCTGGCCAATGAAGGGACCTGGTCAGCAAAGCTGTAAAATAAGGATAAAAATACGGTAATCGCCAAGTCAGAGCTCAGGCAGTGTCTGCGGGGGCTGGAGCTGACAGCACCAAAGCTGGTGACCTCTGTGTCCCTCCAGGCAGCTTCTCCTTTGGAAGGACGAGGAGATGAACTCTCTTCAAAGCCTGCTTTTGGGCTATTGTATGAAATACAATGCTGGGGAAATCAAGCTCTCCTCTTTCACAGCCGGCTTCTGCGCAGCCCCATAATCACGGGTGACCAGAGCGGATTTGCATGTTAAAAGGAGTGGCTTGGGGCACTTAAAAAGAAGAGGAAACATATTCATCAAGTCCAACTTTATCCTTATGAATATTATTATTCCTGGGGACAATATACCCCAGACCTCATCGGTGCAACCCCGCATCTACTCTTCTGCTGCTTCTCCCCTCCTCCCCTATTAATGGTTCATTTGTGATGCTCTTCGTCCTGACATTGATACCCCGGGTGGCTCTGGGGGAGGAATTTGAGAAGGCAGTTTTTGGAGCACGTGGACTGCAGCGGTCAAAGCAGTGCCTTGGCAGCAGGGAGGGGATGATGGCTTGGAGGAGGCAGGTAGCCCAAAGAGGGATGGGGAGATGGTCTAGTCCTGTCTGAGAAGGTGTCTTGGGAGTGCTCGGAAAGCAAACATCCACCACAGCCCCCCCGTGAAGGGCTTCTCTACCCCATCATGCCTCCCGAGCTGACCAAGTCCTGGTTCCTGAGCTCTGCAAATGCGCAGGCCAGGATTAATCTGCTGTGTGCATGGCACAAAGTCAAGCGCTCACCTGGCAGCAGGGCAGATCTGGGTTAAGCGTGCCAGAAAATGAGCAGTTGTGAGGCAAAGGGTACAAATGGGCTGGGGAGGCTGTGGCGTCTCCATCGCTGGGAGTTTTAAGGATGGGAATGATTTAGGTGTAGCATGGGGACAGGTTTCTCTTCTGAGGTCCCTTCTAGCTATATCTTTAATGCTTTTATGATTGCTGATCACAAAAAAACTTGAAGGTGCTTTAAAAAATAATCCTCGGGCCGTGCCCTGCAAGGCTTTCTTCAGCAGCTTGATTTAGAGGGGGGAGAAAAAGAAAGCAAATGAAGAATCTAGGTGGGAACTGCAACCTCTCACACCTCTGCAGAAGCGTCGCTGAAGTAAGGAAACTGGAGTTTTGCTTGAACCCGAGGCCAGCTTAGATGTCAGAGCGTCCCTGCACTGCCGTCTGGCTGGATGCAGGGATGGGGAGGCATGAGGGACGCGTGCGGATGAGGGTGCGAGAGCACCCCGTGCATGCTCAGCGCTGCTCTCGGCACCCCGAATGTGAGTTGCGGGTTGTGCCCTGGGTTCCCCGCTCTGCCTGACCAAGGTTGCAGCAGATCCTGCCACCTGCCTCGGAGGCAAGTTTCTGCTCGCCTGAGCCTCGGCAGGGGCAATTCAGATGCTTTGGTTCTTTTCTGGTGCCACCACCCAGTATTAAACCAGTTAAATCAGATCTCCAAGCGTGGAGCCCTGGTTTCTCAGGCTCTCTAGTGGAGGCGGTGGCCTGGGACAGCCTTGCTGAAGCCTTGCCGTGGTTCACCGCAAGCTTTGTGGTTCCCAAAACACCTGAAAATGGCTCAGTTGGTTGCTCAGCTTTGGCCAGGGATTTGCAGGAGGAGCTCCACTTGGAAGCAGTGCCCCATCTCCTAAGCTCTGCATCTCCTCAAGTCTCCTTTCCACCTTCTCAGCACTTCATGGTACTTCTCTATGAGCTGAGGATGAATAACTTAATACGAATTACGTTAACAATAAAACGCAGAGGCTTGGGAAGAGGTTTGCAGAAGTAATCTGTGTTATCCCAACTGGCCATAACCAGCCGCTGCCGAGTCTTGCTTTTGCCCTTTGTTGTCTGGCATTCAAGTTCTAGCTCTTCGTCAACACTTAACGTGGCTGTGAACGCGTTGCAAACGCAGGGACTCGCCCGAGCGGTCGTGATCTGTGCGTACCTGCAGCCTGGGTCCCCAGCAAAGCCTTTTTGCTTGCAGACTGTGCTTCTGCCTTTAGAGAGACAAGAATATGCATTTAAGATTTGCATAGGAACATGCAGCTGTTCCACCAAAAATGGATAATTGTTCTCCCTGCTGTGAAGTTAAACAATAAGAAGTGCCAAACTGCATTTGCCATTGCTGATTTTGTGCACTCAGCTGCATATTTTATCCATGTAGATTAATTCCAGATTTCTGACGATTTAACTGTTAATGCCTGCGTTAATCGGGCCAGGTTCTAGTTGCTGTGGAAACTATAACTTTGAATTTTACGTAAAGTTCTGTGTTGCATTTAATGCCTTTTTTTTTTTTTTTTTTGAGGGTCTCTTATATTTAATGCCTTATGGTGAAAATGGAGAGGGAATCAGCGTTCAAAATAAAAGTGCCTTTGGGCAGAAAACAAGTTTTATCAGAGAGAGTAATTTTTCTGGAAAGTTGTGATGTCTGGGAAAATAAGGGTTTGTGATAGAGTGCCATCTTGACCACAGCTGTATAACTATTATTATAAGTGTGTAACAGCTATTATAGCTGCTGCAATACTGTAATAAAGAAAACAGCTGTGTAACTTATAAATGCCCTGAAAATACAGGACTGAAGTTCTTGGGTCTCTAGATATTCCTTTTGGCGGGCAAAGGAAATTGCTGATGGGCGTTTGATGGGAAAATAGGCTGGTGCACAGTTTTACCAATTTTTTTTTTTTTTTTATTTCCAGAATACACCAGTGGGCACTCCGATTTTCATAGTGAACGCCACGGATCCGGACCAGGGGGCAGGAGGCAGCGTGCTTTACTCCTTCCAGCCTCCTTCCAATTTCTTTGCTATCGACAGTGGCCGTGGCATCGTGTCGGTGATACGGGAGCTGGACTACGAAGTGACTCAGGCATACCAGCTCCAGGTCAACGCGACGGTGAGTCTTATCCTGGCTGCTGCAGGGGAGGAGGGCTTTTCTGGAGGGACTGCAACGGGGAAGGAGCTGGCGCTTGCTTATTTTATGGCCCCACTCTGGCATCTTCTCGGGCACATCCAGCATTTTCCACTTAGGTGTTATAGCAATGCGGTGCGTGGGTAGTTTCAGCTCGTGGAGCACGGCTGCACCTCTCCAACAGCATCGTACCTGTGTCAGGGGCTTCTGCATAAAGGCGAGCAGCTCCCTTGGTGAAGAAAGCCAGTACAGGGCCTACAGACCATTAAATCCTCTGGTCTTGTTCCTTGTGCATCGTGGTTTATAACAGATGGATTCACCTGTATTAAACCCGCCAAGTCTCACTCAGCAAAAGCTGAGTTCAGACATCAAGAGTTAAAATTTTGGTGAACAGAGGCGGAGAAACCAAGATCCTAATTACAGTCAATGCCACCGGACCAGGAGGAGACCCCTGGGAGAGGTGCATCCGGGTGGCCACCGTGGCAAATTCAAGCCCCACCTGAATGGGAAACTTCTTTCCTGGCGTCAAATCTAGCGAGAGCTCGAGAGGGAGCGTTTGAACGAGGAGGCTCGTGCAAGCAGGCGCTCCGGGTGGCGGCTCCTTTCCCATCTCAGATGCAACAGAGGAAGGTGAGATTCAGCCCTACAATACATCTGACCAACTCTGCATTCAGGAGAGGGGGGCCAAAGCTCTTCCCGACCCCTCCAGGCAGCTGGCTAGAGCTCTTGAAGCATGTGATTTGATCAAGATCATTGTCTTGATGCAGAACCACAAATGTCACGAGGACACGGAGGGCGGTGCAGGGCTGCTTTGCCCTTCACGGCCACGGAGGCTGGGCATTTGCAGACTGCAGGGCCACAGGCAAACAGCTCAACCTTTCAGCCCCATCTCTGCATGTTCAAGGCTGTGGAATTTTCCCCAGGAGCTTATTTTTTCGGAAATATGCCTCATTTTATTTTAAATACTCCAGCGATAAGATGCCCTGCCAGTTGTTTGTTTCCTTATCAGTCTCTGGCACCAACACGTTTTCCCAGGACGTGCTGTTGAACCATCTAGTGGGTTACAAAACACGGGACCAAACACAAGCCCTGATGTAAACGTGCCTTTCTTTCCCATGTCTGATTCTGCTCCCCTCAAGGACACAAGGATGCCATCTTGGTCCATCCAGCTCCATCTAGCCCCATATCCCCAGTGCAGTCACCAGCAAAGATAAAATGGGGGCATATCTAGTACTTAAACGCTACGTGGCTCCTAATGTTTTTCGAGCTCAGGGAGTTCAAAGACTTAAATATTAAGTCTCTGAACTGGGCTTGATTGCAGCTGTGGGAATATCTCCTCGTCTCGGTCGCAAGGTGCTGGTAATTTCTAGCAGAAAAGCAGTGAGAAACCCCAAAGCAAAGCTCAGCCTGGGAAGGAGGATGAGAGCTGCACCAGCGTAGCGGGAGCTGGAAGAGCAAATGCAGTCTCTTGCCTGCCTGATGAAGAGGTTGCATGGTCTGGAGTGGGAACTGGGGTGATGATGATGCTGCAAGGGCTGCAGGAAGAGCTGCGGAGTCTTGGTTCAAGGCAGGAGCCATTTCATCCCAGGGATGTAGGCAGCAAGGGCAGAAAGAGACTGGAAAGGACAGTGTGAGAGACGGTAGGTGAGGAAACTTGAAATGTGCTTGCTTTTTCAGTGCTATCTGTAATACTTTAACCAAAATTTAAGAGGTGAAGGGGAGGGAAAAAAAACATTATCTGAAGAAACGAAAGACTTCAGCCTGATAATGCTAACAGCAGAGTGCGAGTCAGAAATAAGCATCCATCCAGGCCATAAACGCTGAGGCCTGCAGGTTAAGAGGATAATTTACAAGCTGTGTTGTTGAATGCGGTTTAAATTAACATTAATCTTCTGGCAATCAGTCCTTGCCGCTGTTCAGAGCCATTTTACAGAAGTGTGCGGTAACCTCTAATGGTCGCCTTTCACCACGGTGCTTGATTAGGGGGTAAGGAGAGATTTATTTCCTTCCCTTCGTGTGTTACCTCTTTGCTCCTGCCCTTCTAGCAAAGGGCTACAGGCATTGGGGTCGCTTTTGAGAACCCAGGGGACGAGGCTCCATCAAGAGAACTGGTGGCAGCCTGTCTTGCTGTTGCGTTGGCTGCTGGAGAAGGGTCTTGCTCTGGGAAAGAGCTTGCAGCTCCGTTCCGATGGGTCGTGATGGGTTGTAAGGGAGATGATGCTCCTGCTCGGAGCATTGAAGTGTTCAAAGGCCACCGCTGCTCGTCCTAAGATTGCTGTGTGCTGCTTGTGACTGAAAGAGTGGTCAGGCCTTGGAACAGGCTGCCCAGGGAAGTGGTGAAGTCCCCATCCCTGGAAGTATTTAAAAGACGTGTAGATGAGGAGCTTATGGACATGGTTTAGTGGGCATGGTGGTGTTGGGTTGACGGTTGGACTCAATGATCTTAGAGGTCTTTTCCAGCCTTAATGATTCTATGGTTCTATGATTTGCAGTTTATCGGAGCCAAAACCGTTAGCCCAGTAGAAAGGAGGTTGCTATTGCGAGGACGTATCCTGCGGTTCAGGTTCCCGCTCTGCCTTCTGTGCGAGAGCTGAGGCGTCCTACGAAACCAGGAGGAGCACTTGGTGTGCGTACCCTCTGCCAAAGCTCAACAGAAAAAAAACAAAGCTCCGACGGCAATGCAGCCCGCGGGGTTATGAAGAGCAGTGGAAAGGCGAGGGAGCTGGTGGGCTTTGTCGTGTTCCAGCCGACGGAGCCCAAGCTGTGCGGAGGCATCGGCGCTGGGGGGTATGAGATGCTCTGCTGTGATCTGCTGGTGTGAAAGTCTGCTGGCAACCACACCTGGGTCTCACGGTGCGGAGGCGCCCTAGGCTGTATCTGCATTAGGAGGGAATTTGTATTTTGAAGTATATGTTGAAGAGCGTTGCTGCTTTTCCACCCAAAATGTGATGAAAACTAAATTGGTGCTTGCTTTATTTTAAAGGGCTAATGCTGGAATGAAACGCATATCGTATTTCAGCTTAGAGGGAGGTACAGTGGACAATAATTCCAGCAGGTCGCTTGAAAAAGAGATGATTATCTGGCCCATTCAGAAATTTTGACCCAACTACAACTGCAAGAAACTTAATACTGTTGAATAATTCTATTTTTCTGATAGAAATCCTTTCTCTCCCCCCAACCCTTGTTTTTTCAAGGACCAAGATAAAAACAAGCCACTGTCCACTCTGGCCAATCTGGCAATCACCATCACAGACGTGCAGGACATGGACCCCATCTTCATCAACCTGCCCTACAGCACGAACGTCTATGAGAACTCACCTCCGGTAAGGGCTGCTGCTTCACGCCGACGTGCGTGACCGCGGTGTTGTGCCGGGGGCCCAGGGAGGATGGAACAGGGTACGGGACAGAAAGCACAAGGTATCCCAAAAGAGCTGGAGGAAGACCTCCTCTTTGCAGAGATATTCGTCCTTCCTTCCATCACAGGTTTGCGTTGCTCTGCCCCGACATTTGCAGTTTGGGTGCAAAGAGGAGCCCTGTTTCCGTGCTGAGGTGCAAATGCAAGTCTGAGAGGGGGGAGATAAATCATGGGATTCAAATGGCATCCACAGAGAGGCAAACCTTTTTCTGTCTGGAACAACATGTTTCAAGCCAGCTCCAAAACATTTTGCCCTTTTTAAAAAAAGGGAGCCTAAGCAAGGAGGTTTAGAGAAGTCTGAAACCCAGATAAAATCTCTTCCTAAATATTTTTTCTTAGATTTTAAAAAGGTTTTCTGTTGTTCTTAGCACACAGTCACCCCATTGCCTCCCCACAGTGTATATGCATGCCATTTCTAATAGAAAAGTTGAAGAAAAATGTAAACGTTCCTGAAATGAGGCAGTTTTGAAAATGCCAGAATCATCAGCCATTTCAGCACTTTGAGCATTTTCCCCCAGGTTTTGCCAAATTGATCCAATCATTTTAGTTCTTCTGAAACTCGGTTTGTCAGCAAACTCGCTGTTTGTGGAAAACGTCTCCTGGTCTCTAAATACAGCAGGGCTTTTTTTTCCCCCCCCACAGCAGACAGCAGGCAGCTTTGGCTTCGGGAGCTGTTAGCTCTGCTCTCAGCAAGGGTGCCCAGCACCTTCAGCCCAAGCACCAGCCCTACTCAGCAGCATCCACCTTCCCAAGGCATCCCATAGCTTTGTCTATAGGGCAAATATTTTTGCATATGGATGGAAAAACCTTCCTGTCCTAAAATCGTGGCGTGGTAGGCATCCATACTACATATGTATCCCGTAATGTCTCTGGTGCACTGGATCCGTAACACCTGATGGCTGAGTTCAGGCAGTGGTAGGGGGGAACTCCAGCTTGTTTCAGTTTATGCCTTTTTTATTCTCAACTGTCGGCTCTGACGGCACGGAAAGTGCTGGATCAATAGGGCTGAGTCCTGCTGTCACAAATCCTGCAGTCAGACAACGCATTACCTGTCTGCCAGGCCAAAAATGGCTGAAAAATGGCTTTATGCATTACTTCATGAAGTGAAAGTTTCAATGAGTTTCAGTGGTGCTGAGATTAAGGACTGCTTCTGTGGTGGGCAGTATGAGCTGCAGGGAAGAAAAAACGCTACGTAGCTCACCCTTAACTGGGGAGGGGGGAAAGCCTTAGATGAAATTATAGAAATGGAAATCCCATGAATAGCAAAAATTATAGACTTCATCACCTTCATGGAGTGAGCTGGTATCCAGGAAAGGGGATCTCTCTCAAATTAGTGATATATATTAAGGCTGGAGCTCAACGATCTCTTTGTGTTGATATACCAGTCACAATTATTCCCAGAACATACGCTGTTTGCAGTAGGCAAAGCAGCAAATAATCGCTGTGTAACCTGAAATAGGAAATGAGTGAAGAAGGAGCGCTCACCAGACTCTTAGCAGTTTTCTGACGGGTTTCGAGATTTTAATTTCTCTTGGCCCCACATAACATCTCCAAAGGCATTGAGATATCCAAGATGGATAGGTGTCACCAGAGACGGGGTGAAGAAGACAACTGGTGAACGTGGGCTGTACTTTGAGTGGTATTGCTCTCTGGTTTGGACCCAAAGTCCCATCCTTCACCGGAGAAATCTCCGCTGCGGAAACAAGGATGTGGTTTGCTATGGCAAGTCTGGGGTTTAACGTGTGTGTTTTCCTCTCTCTGTGGGAAGCTCTGCCCTACCACCCGAGGGAGCCAGTGGCAGTGCGGAGTGGAAAATGTCACCCTGCGGAATAGCTTGGTTCCCAAAAGGATAACAGCAAATTTGGGTGAGGAGTCTGGACTTGGCCAACTTCTGTCCAAAAGCAGGCTTCCAGGTCAAGCCAACAGGCTGCAGTGCATTTGTGGGTGACGTTTGCCCTGCCGTCGGGCTCAGCAGGTCAAAATGGGCTCGAGACTTCTCATCCCAGCCCCAAATCTACAGAGCGGAGGCTTGCCGCTGCTCCACGTGCCCGCTCTCCGTCCGTCTTGCCGCTCTTTTTATCTGCAGTGCACAGCACGTCTGTGTTCCTCTATCAATGTATCAGGCGAGAATACCTCATCTAAAGTGTATACATTACCTAATAAAATCCTTCTTATTTGGGATTACTGCATCAAATTTTAATTTCCTCACTCGAGTAACAGCATGTCAGCCAGCCCGTCAGTGAAGAGCCGATAGAAGGTGAAAAGAGTGGATAAACTGCAGCAAATTACCGCAAACAGATCTCTATCAGCCCTTTGACTGGAATTGACTGGAATTAAGAAGTGAGAAATAGGATTTTTTTTTTCTTTTTTTTTTTCCCCTGCCCTGGCAGCTTTCTGAAGCGCTCCCCCCTCCTTCTCCTGCTGCAGTGCTGGGCTGCGCTTTGCCTTTCAAGTCCCTAATCCTGTAAGAGGAGGAGGAAGAGAAGGAGAAGAAGAAGAAGGGGCGGAGGGGCGCGAGAGGGGAGAGAAGTGCCGTTGTAGCTCTGATTTTTCTCAGGCCGGGATCTGGTAGCATAATTTAGAAGCGTTTTGGGCACGTGCTTATTCGGACACCGAGAAGAAAGAAATGTCTTATCAGGCAAAGGAAGAGGACGCAGCGGGGAGAGACTTTGCTGTCCCTGGAGGTGTTGCATCTTCTTTCTCGATGCTGTTTATCATCCCAGTGTACCTCAGACATCTTTCCCAGGGCACCCAAGTGCACCAAAGCTGCCTGTAGCTGTGGCAAAGCTTGGCGACGTTGTATTTTTCATCCTCAGAGTCTTTTTGGGTGTCTGTCCTCACAGTGTCTGTAGACTGGAGAGCATCGTTGATGTTCTCCAGGCAAGTTAATAGGGGCTGGAGGAGAGGGGCCATTTCCCCTTGCAGAGATGCTGTTGGTCTGATGAGCCCCTGCTTTTGGACCTCAGCTGGTGCATGGTCCAGGCAGCATCGCAGCTTCACTTTGGGGGTGAAAGAGGAGGAATCCACCTGCTAAGAGACAAGCTGAGGCCTATGAAAGTGTGCTCTATCCCACAGGGAGCCACGCGAAGGCAAGAAGGGGGACAAACCCCGGTGGTGCTTGGTCCCAAGACCAGCAGTTGTATTCCCTCACAATAGCATGGTACAGATATATGTCAAATATCATTAAAACAGTCTTAATTCTTCAGCACCATCCCCCTCCTCTTCAAAAACTCCTTGGGTTAAAGAAATAATGTAGAAACAGTGCTATTTTTGCCCTAGAGTCTCAATAGCTCCGAGTTAATTCTTTCTTACAATATTTCCAGCCCATCAGTGTGAACACTTTATTAAAAGCTCAGGGTTTTATTAAAAAAGGATTGATTTACCCCTGCCCCTCTTCAAAAAACCCTCAGATTTTGTTTGGATAATGTGCCATTCTTTATTTTCTTTGCCTTTTTTTTTAAGCATAGGCTTTTCCAGATTATTACTTTTCTAAACCTTCTTCCTCCTTCCCTAGAGGGAAAGCGTTATTCTGCTCTGGTCTATACCCACCACCCGCGTCCTTTCCTTGCAGCCACCGTTGTCTGTGGTAGGCAGGCGAGTTTTTACTTGCTTTAAGAAATGTCAAGAATGTTTGGGAGATTCCAAGAGCCGCAGGTTCGCACCACAAATACGTGGGGTGAGCCCTGGGCAGAACTGTTGACGCTGGAAGTCAGCTTGGGCTTTCCATGAGTAAGTGGAAGCCTTGTCAGATGTGTTTGGCTAGAGATGGTGGGAGGGTACCCTGCAATTTAGGGGTGCAGGTGGGTGCCTATGGGAGCCAGAGCACAGCATCTCCTGCCCTTGCCGTGCCAAGACCTCGATAGCGAGAGGTATCTAGGTGGTCTGGTGGGATTTTGGAAGAGAAATTAGCAATTGTTGAGATGTGGTTGGTGAGAGGTCAGTCTTTGCCATTGTGGGATGGCCATGATCGACAGTTTGGTTTGGGTTTGGGTGTTTTCCTGTTCCTAGTCTCTCCTCTCTGGTTCGTTATCTCTGCTGGTATGGTGGGCAAGACGCTTCACGATCATCACAGGTACTAAGAGATGAGTATGGCCTATGTGTAGCGTCATGTTTGCATCACGTCATCTCCCCATCTCACTCAGACACGTGCTGAATGAGAATGCTCCTTCCTGTTGACCGAGCTGAGCAATCATGCTCCGAGGCTGTCTTCATCAGTTGTTTCCACTCACTAAAAAACTAATAATTGCCACCAGCTATGTGGATAACCATTATGCCTATCCTGTGGCACTTTTCAGCCTCTTCCCCAGAAGCATCAAGATTGATCCTAAACACTGTGTGAATGCTTGGGGAGTGATCATCCATTCCTGGGAGCTGGGATCTGCCAGTCTTGTGGATATTGGGAGCCTCTTGTGAAGGAGCTGATGGGAAGGATGGAAACCAGGAGGGATGCGAAGGGGTGGCCAGGTCCCTGCCTCTGTTGTGGTTCCAGGAGATGGTGTCCAGGAATAGTAGGGAGCTCAGCCCCGCTCCAGCACGTGTTTCTCGGTCACTGGTGAAGCGGACGGGCTGGTGAAGGGGTTTGTGAGAAGGACGACTCACACAGGGCTGCAAGAAGAACAGGGGAAGACCCAGTCTCAGAAAACAGCAGCGTGAAAGCCATCATCACGGGCTTGCCAAGGACCAGGCGAACCTTAGCGTGCTCTCTAGCAGCCCTCATTTTTGGGATCAGATGTCTGGATAATTTCTTTCCTATGGACACCTCTATGGCACGCGCTGCCGAGATACCCGAATGAGATGCCCCCTCCTCCTCTCCCAGACTTTCCAGACTGCAACATCTGAGCTCATCCTTTTATCTCTCCCAACAGCCCTTCCCCTTGGCTCCTACGGGAGGGACCTTTCCTGCAGATAAAGCAGCCCCAGCGTCGGCGGGCCCATTGCTATTCTTCGGCCATCGCGGGAGCCCTGCCTTCTCCCGCAGCTGCCTTCCCTTTGAAATGTGCCGCACGGCAGGCGACACTTATCATTCTGCTCCGCTCCCTCGCTTTCTGACAGGCGATGAGCGAGCTGTCAGATGGACCAAGTGCCTTCACCCAACCGCCCCTGCCACGGAGGAGCTCCCGCTTCGCCGGGGAGCAGAGGGGGGCTCGTGCTTGCCCCATGGGGACGGCAGATTAAAGCAGAGTACGCTGGGGAGAGCATGCTGGATTGCATGCCTCTCCTTTTTTCTTTTTTCTCTGGATTGCCTTGCTCTCCTTTCCACATCCCTTGTTCTGCTTTCCCACCTGCTCCTTCCCCACGTTTCTTGTGCTTTTTAGCTACCCTTGCTCCTTTGGAAAGGACAGCTATTGTTGGTGATTTAGAGGCTCTCGGGTGGCTGCTGAGCCTCGCCAGCCGAGTGCTGCTCAAAGGCCAGTGACCTGGGATTTATGGCTAATGTTCTCAGTTAATAATGTGGATTTACTTAAGGAGTCTATTGAAATGCCCTCGGAGATCAGGGAAGGGGCAGTCTGCCTGGCCCCGGGAGCCTGCTTTACGGCCGGCGGGGGCAAAGCATCTCCATTGAGCCCGCAGGGGCATGGCTCTGAAAGCCGGGGAAGACGGCAAGTCCCTGCTTTCCTCCGGTGATGTTTCTGCAGCAGCTTTCCCTTTGGCCTTCGACTGATGGATTGCAGGACAAACGCAACACTGCTGTCCCACTATGCTCCCTCGTTAGATATGCAAACGTCTCTGTTGACATTTCCTTTGAGGGCAAAAAAAAAAAAAAAAATTAAAATTGCTCCTTTTCCCACTGTTAATAAACCAATGAAAACAAGAACAGCTGAGTTGTAAATTTTTTCACGCTACATTAATTATGTGCATGTGTGTGTGTTTGTATTCATACGGGCTCACTGCAGTGCGGCGGGGCAAGTACAGCTCATGGAGTCGACATAAGCGCGTGATGTTTTTATTTAAAGAACTAAACAAGAATTTTGGGTCACTTTTATGTTCTTCATTGGTTTTGGGGGACTCTTGGCCTTGTGGACCTTTCTGCTGGGCTATAAGAAACAGGTCTGTCCTGCAGCATGGAGGATGAGGTGGGTGAGCTGGCAGTTGCAGAAGCTCCTGCCTGAGGGCGATCCCCTGTTCTCAGCATCTGTCCAACCCTTACCCTCCTTAAAGATCTCAATTAAAATCTCCGCAGCTTGCTTAGTTCTGCAGCTGGATGCCGATGGCCAGCGCGAGCATCCCTCGTGCCTCGTTTGAAGAACGCAGGGGGAGAAGAGGACCAGTTGAAACTAGGAAGCCAGCGGGAGATAAAACTGGTGTAGTGACCAGTGCTGAAGGTCGTGGTGGGAGGGAAGTGTTGCCTTTGGTTCTCGAGGGACTGCAGAGTGAAGATCTCTGTGGCAGAGGAGCATATGGTTTTGCCTCTCAGCCAGAGCCTGTGCAGCGGTGGTGCTGCGAGGAGGAGGCACGTCCTGGCTTTGCCAGTGCTGCGCCTTTGGTTCCTCTTCTTCCTCGAGCGCTGTGTGCTTACCACACTGGCCTTGCTTCAAATCCTCCTCCTCTGGGTAGGGGACGAGCAGCATGGGGACGTGAGTCTGGTGGTGCTCTCTCCAGTCCCTACGGACACTTGCCCTGGTATGAGCCTACTGCGTGGTCAAGCTCAGCCTGCTCGGTGGTTCAGTTAGAAGACGTGCCGGTCCTGCCCTCAGCATCGCCAGCTACATCCTGGGGTGGGTTAGCAGAGTTTTGCAGCTTGCACAAGAGTGATGAGCGGTGAGCCCAAACTGCCCTGAGAAGGAGGGTTGGGTCTTTTCCATGGCTTGCCTTGTCCTTGGACAGGTTTTCCTAAGCACGTGGCCCACGGTAAGAGGTGTGATGCCTTGGCAGGGCGTCCCGGGAGCCCCAGCAGCGCTTGGCCGGGGTGGCTGTAACACGTGTCTCCTCTCCCTCCCCAGGGTACCACCGTGCGGATGATAACGGCGATCGACCAGGACAAGGGCCGTCCCCGGGGCATCGGCTACACCATTGTCTCGGGTAAGTCATGGGGGGACGTGGTGGAGAGCCCGGCGGGGCCGGAGGAGCTAGCCCTGTAGGAAGTCTTTGTGTAACCCGTGCCTGGGAAATCGTATTTGTTACTCGAGTTACTCCTCGACTGTACTGCTTGCTCTTCTGATTTGTTATTGCTAATTACTAAGGCTACTGCTACAACGGAAAGCTTTTACTCCTCTGAAAAGCTTGTTTTCCCTTTGGAGCACGTCGTTCATGGCATCTCCCTTTCCTTGAGCAGGAGACATTATTTCTAACAAATTTGACAATATCTCATAGCAAAACCTTTCAGTCCTAATGACGAGCCGCAAACAGCTCCGCTTCACACAGTGCCATGGAGGAGACCTACAAAGAGCTCTTTAGAGCAAGACAAGACCCGTAAAACTCTTGTTGGCGATGTGGTGGTTATCATTTAGGGAATGGGACTGATTACGGGCTGAACAGCCTCCGTGCTTTAGAAAATCAGTTTTCAAAGAAAGGTCTGTCTGAGGTGTCTGGTGCTGAACCCTGCTTGCCATGCTACTGGTTTTGGGGAAACTCTTCCTGCAGCCCCACAAGCCCAAACCTCTTTTGTCAACCTCTTCTGATGGCAAAAGAGCCAGGGGCAGGGTAGTCTGGGCAAGCGTTTCCAGCTAAAACCTAGCTGAGTTTTGGAAAGGCCAATTTTTGGCACTGGACCCGTCTTATTTAAGATGCCTTGAGGTCAGCGAGCCTCTGCCATATCCAAGGCAGGCTTTGATGCTCGCTGGGCTGCACTCAGATGCTGCTTTGGTGGGGCTGTGCCTGGGGGACAGACAGACTCCTCGGGTCAACCCAGGAGCGAGGGAGCAGCTCGGTGGGGCTGGGCTGTAACCCTATTTCTGGCATTGCTTTTCGGGGGGATCTTCACAGCAAGAAATGGCAGCAGTGCCTCCTCTCCCCGCTGTGCCGCGTGCTTTGGGTGCTGGCTGGCAGCTCCTTTGAGCTACACGTGCGGAAATAATTTCCCGGTTTCTCTTCCTCAAAGCCCAGCCGTTTCAAACACATTTTTAATCAACCTCTAGGGTCAAGGTGATTTCACCCTGCCTTTCAAGTCCACTGATCCTGACTGCAAGTATCCAGGTCAGTCTGCCTTTGAAGATGCAAGGATTATTTATTCCTCTAATTCTCTCTGCAATTTATTCTAATGTTCCCCTGGCATGAATTAAATGGGAGATTCCCCCAGATTGTGTGTATCAACTGGCCAAAGTGCAGCAGGGACTTTCTTTTGGCTGATATGAGCCCTTTTTCACTAGAGACTGGACTGAAACCCCAAACTAATTCTGCAGCTGCCTCTGAACTACCATGAGGATGGTAAAAGCCTTCAGCTTACAGAATCTTCACCTAGCTCAAAGCCTGAAGATGCTCAACAGCTGGGAAATCACCCTTGTCCTGTTCGTACACCCTCCTTTGGGCATCTGCTGATGGCCATGGACCATTTTTCTGACCCAGTATGCTGTAGGTGCCTAGTTTTCCTGTGTCAGCACCAGTGCAATACAAACAGCTCTGGGTTTCTAAGAGCCTTTATTTGATGGCTCAAACCTACAGAAACAACTGTGCAATCCGTAGAGGGTTAATTTGCTAAATGCACCCATCTGCTCACGGTCATGTCAGGCTTTCTGCTCATCGGACGGTCATGGCTGCTCTACCGAATCAAGGAAACAGAACCTTGGACCCTGGATTTTTACCTGGAGTCTTCATGCGTGCTCTTATTTTCATGTCTATCTTTGGTTTTCCTGCGAAATAGCCACAACGTCCCTTTGTGAGCATCCCCCGCTCAGTGCCGGGGTAGCCGTCAGCCTCGCCATGATGGCTGGGCGGAGGTATGGTGGGTGGGAGCCAGGCATGCGCCAGGAGCCTGCTGGCAGTGGGGTGCGGAGCGACAGGCAGGCAGATCAGGGCAAACATCCTCGTCTCTGCTTGCATGTGCCAAGAGCCTAATCTCTGCCCCTGGTCCCGCCTGGCCGGGGGCAGCTAGCTCTCATATTGGAGAACCAGGCAGAACACATCAAAGAGTGATGCTTTGCTTTTTTTTTTTTGCCCAAACATGAGAATTGCAGAGCGTTTTCGTAACTGGCCAGGAGTCTTTCTCCTGTCAGCACCAGCATCTTGCAGGGCGGTGGTGCTGGGAAGGATCAGCCCGTGGACGGACCGAGGGCGGACTGCAGACACCCACTATCGCCTCCTGCCTCCTCCCCATCCTCTCACCCTGCCTTTGGCTAAAGGCAGAGGTTTCCAAAATCCCTGAAGCCAGGCTTCAGGATGTTCTGCTTCCACTTTGAACTGACTTTGTGGCCAGAGCCAGAGTTCGCCAGCTCCGTTTGACTGCCGGATTGCAGCCGAGGCGTGTGGCTTAGGGCAAATTTTAAAGAAAACATGGTCATGGGGCAAACAATTTTTTTTTTTCTGAAGTCAGTAGGAGTGTGAGTGCCTTCCCTGCTCTGCTCAAGGCATTCTCTTATACTTTCCACGATTTGTTTCTTGCTTTTGAAAGAAGATGTTACCTTCTGACGTCTGAGGGTCCGGACATGGGAACCAGCCGCTAGCACGCCTCCAAAATCCTGCTCACCCAAGGCAAGCAATTTTTTTTTTGGCAGGCAGGTAAAGCCTAATTAACTTGTTATTATCCTCAATCACAATGGTAAAGGTCAGCGAGCAGATTTTGTGCCTGAGCTGGTAAATTTTTATGGCAATTTTGCAAAAAAAATGACCTAACATATGGGAACGGGGAAGCAAATTAAATTAGAAACCGACCATAAGCAAAAGTGAAAATGGCCAGTGGAGGTAGTAATTATACCTGGCTCTTCAGCCCACTTCCACAAGGGGAGGTGGCGGTGATGCTGCTCCCATTTCACGGCAGGGATGGGCGATGCCTCTCCCCGGCTCTCCCAGGCTTTCGGGCATAGGGCTTGCATGTAGCTGTTCTGATTTTACTGGCTGGGGTTGAATATACAGCAGCGAGAAAGCTGAAAAGCAACCTAGCAGTTTATCATTTCTTTGGTATTCATATCGAAAGCGCTGCTATGATTTGGAGGCGGGGTATAAAAATTAATTTGGAATTGCCGTTGTCCTGCCCAGCTCCATCCCTCGGGTAACTGCACCTCGGGATATACTGCAGCAGCTCTTATTTATACGGCTATCTCCAGCACAAGGTCCTCCCATGACAGGAAAACAATAAAACTAAAAGATTAACCATAACCACGTAAAATAAGACTTAAGATCTAACTTTATGCTGCCAGCTTACAAAGCTGTTAAGCCTGAAATGACGGAGAAGCGCTGATCTAGCTGTGTCACGGCTTTGGCTAGTTGTCCTGTCGGGGCAGACGACCCTGCCTGCCTGCTGGCTGCCTTGCCTGCTGCCTGCCTGCTGCTTGCCTGCCTGCCTGCTGGCTGCCTTGCCTGCTGCCTGCCTGCTGCTTGCCTGCACTGGGAATCATTTCCATAGCTTACAGGGAAAAGCCATTTGGTTGTTTCTCCCCCTTCTTTCCAATTTGAGTATTTTCACCCTATGAAAACATGAACTTTTTCGCCCTGCGCTTTGCAAGGAGTGGGGTCACCGCCGTGCAAAAGGCCATTTGAAAAAGAAATCCGAATTGAGACCTCGCAATTCAAACAGGCTGGTCGGTGCCGGGGCTCCCATCGCTCCGATGGGTGTTTCTACTGCTTTTCCCAGGTGAAAAGGAGGGCGCAGGCAGCCTGCGGCCGGTGCCCTGCAAAAGCCCTCCCTCCCCGGCTGCTTTGACAGGTTGGAGATGTTCAGCCGCTGAGGTCAGGGCTCTGTTTGAAGGACAGATAATTAATCCAGCAAAGTAATCCACGGCTCCTTTTTGGCAGATTTATGGAGATAGCCTCTGTACGGGGGACTCTGCCTCATCATCTTTCATTTCCCAGGCAAAGCGAGTGACTTGTTGTATAACACGACCTGTTCTAGATAAGGCTTTTCATTTAGGGGAACTCTCTGGTCTAACAGAGATTGATTTTCCCGGTGGAAATCGGAGGGCCCCGGCGCTCTCGGCAGGATCAGGCCTGCAGACGGCAGTGTGTTTTCATATTTGTTGCTGCTGCAGATCGCCTGGGGCGTGGGGAATCCTTTGGCTCTTTAAGAGAAGGATTTTTATCGTGAATTAAATGGCAATTTAATGAATAGGCAGGAGGGGACTTTGGCCCGCGAGCTCTTGTTAGGAAAACGTGTTGTATGACCGCAGTCTCGCGCTTTGCTCGCTAGCGGTAAACTTTGGGTTTCATTTATTTCCGGGAGAATCAGGAGACTTCACGTCTCCTGGCACGAAGATGTGAGGGTGACCTGTGCTGCTTGGGCAGGTATCGAAGGGTTAAACCAGGGAAAAGGGTCCCGGGGCTCTGCAGGATGCCCCAACATCAGTCTCTGCCTGCCTGAGACATTTCAGGTGCGGTGATGGATGGGCAATGGGAGATTGCACAAAGGCAATCCATACGTCCTTCCCGGGGCTTGGAAAGTCCTGCAGGAGAGAGGGGAGGGAGCGCGGGGGCTTTCAGTCCTTAGGGCTCTTCACAAACCCTTAGGGCATTTTTTTTTTTTGTCTTTCCCAAAGATGATTGTTTTAGGAGACTGATGCAGTTTCTGGCAAAGCGCTCTCTTCCTAAAGCTGGGGCATCCCAAGGGAAGCATGAATTAAAAATCATTATTTGCACAACATAATAGAAGCGTGAGCTACAAAAGTAAGAGGGAAGCGTGTCTGAAAAGAATTGTTCTCCATCTTTCTTCTGTTTTTTCTGCTAAGGAATAAAATATCACATATATGTAAAAATCAGTGCAGTGGCTCGCAGAAGATGTTTCACGCGGTCTTAACAGATCTGGAGTCCCCCGCTGCCTTCCTTTTGAAAGTGGACACGAACCCTTGAGGTAAGGTTAAGTGGCCAAAGAGGTCTCTCAGCCCTCAGCTGCTGGCACCTCCCTTCGTATTTTTCCTCCCTGGCTTAATAAAGAAGGC